CTTTTCGCAGCTGACCTTATTGCATTTACATTTGTAGGAGTTTCTCTTACAGACGCAAAATTTATGGGAGGAGAGTATTTAAATAAATCATGCAATGTGATGTTGTGCAGTTACAGACTGCAAATTAAGGCAGTATACACTGGAAACAAACCAATGTATACAGGATGTATTGCGGTTTGAAATAGCATCCGTCCATTCTCCCAAACCTTTCATTCTCTGTAGGGGTGCAGGGATGCTGGAGCCTAAGCCAGCGACTTGGGTTATAGGGCTCACACACTGACAAAACAATTCTAGGAATTTAAACCCTTTTCTTAGAACTGGAAGAATCTGTTAAGGAGTCTGACACTAAGTCTGGTGAGTCAGTCCAGAATAAAGTGTAAAAATTAAAGAATTTATGGAAGTGAGAGGGGGGTGTTGCAACACATCTTGTCTAAACCTTTGTCACTTTTGAAACTAAAACACTTATTAAACAATTACAGTTATACAAATTTGACCTCCTCAAAAATTCACCATTCACTGTACATCTATGCTAGAAATACTCTTTCAGACTTAGACATTCAGCTGTTGATGAAGGCCCTAACGATTGCCACTTTAAGTCCTGATACAACACAGCTGATAAAAACGGGTAACACATATTCATAGGTGGACTGCTGTCATAAACTGTAACCTCGAGCCAGAGAGCGATCATTTAAATAGGCCTTGAACTTTGCATTATTGATGCAGGTTTTTTTGTTTGTTTGTCTTTTGCTATGAGAGACATGACCATTAAACATGCAAAGACTGAATTTGACCTTCCATTGTCATTTTTAGTGATAAGAAAAAAAAAGGCATTTTATTTGTAAGTCAAAAAATGGTATGGCTTGGATTTTTCATTTGGAATGTAATGTCTACATTTTAAACTATTGTTTATTCAAATAAATCCCGGAAAAGACTGGAGAAAATGGTAAAAAAAGTGTGCTGCATAAAATAACTAACATACAATAAGCAAAATATTACTCATATGAAGCAGCCTTCTTAAGGTATAAAGCAAGGGTGTCAAACTCAATTTCTGGAGGGCCGGAGCCCTGCAGAGTTTAGATTCAACCCTAATTAAACACCAACAAGTCCTTCAGGTTATTTTAAAACTACATGGTATGTGTGTTAGAGCAGGGTTGGAAAAAAACTCTGCAGGGCTCCGGCCCTACAGGAATTGAGTTTGACATCCCTGGTATAAAGGATGATTTGTTTTGATGAAACTAACAAAAAGGTTTCTTTGTTTGGAACAGTGCAGTTTATCTAATCCTTTTTTCATACAATTTTGACTAACTGGATCTTCTGTAACAATAATTCGTGACTCAACAATAGAAAGACCAGAAAATCTTTGTATATAGAAAAATCGCTTATTTCATTGAGTTTTTCCAAAACAATCAATATAACTTAACCTGTGTTTTTATGCAAAGAAAAAAAATTCCTTGTATGTGCAAGCACACTAGGCAATAAAACTCTTTCTGATTCTGAATTTGATTCTGATATCAAAACATATCATATCTATCCAAACTTCACTTAAGCTCTTGAGGATAAAAGAAAAAAAGATCAAAATATCCATTGAGCATTGTTTAATTGTGCTCCTAAGTTGAGTAATTTTTAATCTGAAATGTGAAGGGTCAAGGCTACTGTTATCTTTATGATAAGAATGTTGGGGAAAGACCACTGGGTTCAGAATCACTGAACTGTTGAAAACAGTTCTTGCTCATTCAGTCCTGATGGTTAATGGTAAACAAACTTGGCTTGCTGTCCCGATGGAGGCTCAAACCCGAGGCTCGGCTAGTTCAACCCCCCGCCCCCCATTGGGAGATTAACCAAAAAAGAGGAGGAGATGGGGAGGTGGAGGGATGCCGGAAGAACTGACACTGGGACGGTGCAACTGAGTGAATGATTAGGCTCCTCCCGAACCTACGTTTGGAACTTCATGTCAATTCATAAGCATTTTAGTATGACAGCAAAAGGTGATATATACAGAATTTTTTTCTTCTTTTTAGACACCTCACAGGGTCTAAGAAAATCAGAGACACGTGCATGAATTTGACGTTGGTTTTCTATTTGCTAGATCAGCCATTGCTTGTGGAAAGAACTTCAACTAATTTTATCAAAAACATGTATTAGCATGTAAAACCAAGCTAACATAAACTGTACCGTGTACGTATTGATATCCGTCTTTATATATTATATAAATTGTATATTTTATTGTAGAT